TCTCTCTTTGAGAGAAATTCTGTAAATACATTAATTATTTACTGTGTTTTAATTTCACTATTTTTGCTAATAAGTAAAATTTGCAAAATTAAATCTACATAAACAAGTAATATTACAATATAACTCTGGCAAATTTGTGAATTTAGAAACCAGTGAATATGCTCACAATATGAAAATAGTAAAATTAAATGGTTTCACAGTATGTTATAAACCTTTATATCAACCATAATTTTTCTTAATATGATAATTCATTTTTGTTGTTTTCAGGGTTATAGTTTAAGCAGTCATTGTATTGTGTTGTTTGTGACTACTGTCCTCCATAGCACAGAATCTCATTATTTATTTTACTTACTGTGGCTAAGTGTTGGAGGCATGGCAGTGCTGAAAATGGTGAGTACACAGACATAAAGAGGGCATGCGGATTGGGTAGTCCAGAAATAAATCTTAAAGGGAGAGCTGGTAGACCCTGAGATTGCACCTTGGATCATGGAACACACCTGTCTGCACCATTTAATCATTCAGTCTCTTATTTGTTTTTTTAATTCGGGAATTTACTGTGAAATTACTATCAAATCTGTATTAGAAGCTGCATTCCTACATGAAATATAAGCCATACCCTTCTGTTGCTTTGTACCATTTTATTAGCAACTGCAGATACTAATACTGATAATAGGCTTATTGCGATGTGTTCCTCATGAAAATAACATGGACATCTTTGGGATTTACAGCTTCCCCTTTAAAATATGAATTAAATTAGATTGTAACATTGTACAACAGTTGGCTTTCAGAACATAGCAATTTTAATGAGGCTCATTTGAATGGTTGTATTCAAATAAGTATTTAATTATTTCATTTGAAATTTAATGTATTATTTATTTGCTGGCAGTTTGTAAAAAGTTTTGGTACTGGTAATTGCAAATGGTCACATGGTGTGGTGATTTAAAATAATACAAAATAAAATGTACACGGTAATAATAAATATAGTACAAACAAAATAAGATATATAAAATAACCAAAAAAATACATGCTATATAATAAATCAGATTGTGTGGAATCGTGAGCGTCTGACATCTTGTACATAGCAGACAATATATTTACATCATTTAATCAATATCTTTAATGCAACCATAAACCTTACAATGTACATACTTAGTATCTGATCAACTTAACCAATAAAACTTCAACACATATGAATATATAGTAGTTTAGATTATCTAAAAGCATGTGAACTTTGAAGTAGGTGAGTAAACTGCCTATGTTAATGCTTGTAATGTGATGTCATCATAAAAAACTAATGATTCAAACTTAATTTATGCAATTGCATTCCCTTTGATGTTTGTTGTCAGTTTCTCATTTCCTTTTTAGGGTGTATACATGTAATGAACACACAACATGAGTACTGATCTAATTTGTCAAGGGATGTCTACTTTGTTCACTTACTTTTTGTTTTCACTTTCAAAAACATACAAACCACATATTTTGTTTTCGGCTTTGCAGGTTACAGTATATGTGTCAAGAACGTCTGGGAAAAGTCAAAAACTGATGTTAGCTGGGTTGGTAGTTTCACTTCATCTATTTTTTATGCTGTATCTACATTTTGCATACCATAATGTTGCAGAAGGTAAGAAGTAATCAGTAATCATATTTAAATAATTTGTATAGTAATAATCGAACTTACAGTAAATGTGTGATCATGCTAGGTAGGTTGTTCTACACGAAGCTCCCTAGGAGAGTTATTTTGCCCAATTGAAAGCTCCCTAGGTAGAGTTTTTTTGTCCATAAGAAACTTCCTAGGTGAGTTATCTTTCCCCATAGGAGACTCCCTAGGTAGAGTATTTTTTCTATAAGAAACTTCCTAGGTGAGTTATCTTGCCCAATTGGAAGCTCCCTAGGTAGAGTATTTTTTCCACAAGAAGCTTCCGAGTTGAGTTATCTTGCCCCATAGCAAGTTCCCTAGGTAGAGTATTTTTTCCATAAGAAACTTCCTAGGTGAGTTATCTTGCCTCGTAGCAAGTTCTCTAGGTAGAGTATTTTGTTCCATAGGACACTTTCTATGTAAGTTTTCTTGTCTCGAAGGAACTCCCTAGATAGATTACTTTGTCCATTAAAAACTCTCTAGGTAAGTTATCTTGCCCCATATGAAGCTCCCTAGGTAGGCTAATTTTGTAACCTGTGTGTTATATTAACACTGTCGCTGCTTGCATTTATCAGCATGGTATTTTCTTTAAACTAGTAAATAATATCATGTTTTATGCTTGTTACTTCTGACACGTACCATGTGCTATGCTTTCTAAAACAGTTTGGCAGTGATTGATGCACAATAACATCACTTATATAGGTTTATTATATAATGTACAGTTGATGTGTGCTATCTTTGTGCATGTATACCTGTCTCGGTGTACTGCTTATGCTTGTTACCCTGGTAATGCAGAATCTCAATGCCTAACTTCACGTAGTACTGTAAAACCATTTAATTTCACTACTTTGAGCATATTCACTGGGTTTTAAGATCATGAATTTGCCATTGTAACAGGGAGTTTTATTGTATTGTAATGTTCATGTGAATTTTATTTTAAATTAGCAAATTTTATTTTATCAGCGGAAAAAGCGAAATTAAAACCCAGTGAATAATTAGTGCATTCACAGTACTGTAAGGGGGTTAATTATTCACTGGGTTTTAATTTGGCTTTTTTCGCTGACTGGAAAATGCGCTAAATTAAAACCCAGTGAATATGTAAAATTGAGCATGGAACACATTATCCAAATGATAAAACCGTGAATTTTAAACCCACTAAATATTCCTGAAACGCTAAATCAGTGAAATTTAAACCCAGTGAAAATTAGTCATTTTACAGTACTACTTAGAATTGACACATGCATTTACTTTCCCTTAGGGGTATAGAAAGTGTGAGTATGTGTGTGTGTGTGTGTGTGTGTGTGTTAACCACGGCTACTGTGTGTGACAGTGTTGATCTCAGAAATTTGGTTGATATATCCTTCCAGCTTTCAAGAATATACAGTTTGTACTCGACCTGCTTCGATTTTGTACTAAACATGTACAGTACCGTAAAATCTGTATTAGAAGCCGCATCCCTAATAGAAGTCGCACCCATTCGTTTTGAACAATTGAGACCCATCCCCTCTGTTGCATTGTACCATTTTAATAGAAGCCATGGCTTTTAATACATGAAATATTTGTTAAAAATAGCAAACACTTTTGTTCGTTAAATATGCTGATGACATGTTACAATGTCATCTGTTTGTTCATATTTCTCTCTCGTTTTTCTGTTGTGGAGTCAACACTGGAGCACACTCTAGTCTATAACAATACATGACATGAGTTGTGTGTTGTGTGCATGCTAGCTAATGCTGATTTAATCTGCCTTTTCTCTTAGAATTTATCAGTCATCATTAAGGTAGAAGCCTATACATCATTTTTGAGAATGTTTGTTATATATACCTGTACCTTAACAATGTGTATGTACAATCATGGAGCTATAGTACAATAGAAACATAAAAACTGCCATCTTTTGTGTGTAACAGTAACATTATATTGAAAAAATTTGGTTAAATATTCTTCAAAACAATTCTGCAATGTTAAAACAAAATAGCATTTTTTGCTCTATTTTGAAACCTTGTTTTTTTTAAATATTTGAGGATAACAAAAAGTATCTTATCAATCTTGATATACCCTATGTTACTGGTAGTGTATATGTTTACGTAAATAAAAGAGGTCAACATAAGTACCCGATAATATTTTAATAATTAGGCAATACACAGGCAATATTGGGTTTACCATATATGCACTTCTGTTGTCAATGTGCTTCTGAAAGAGCAAATACCAGTGTTTTAGGAATTGTATTCTTAGACTGACAATAAGGCTGTCATTTGCTAAAATAAAACATTATTTTCTTTAAAATAATCCAGGTGAATATCCTTGAATTGACCAATTTATTGCAAAATTCTAAATTAAATTTCGGTTATTTTCATTCACGAGTAGACATTTACCTTAAGATATAGGATATTTTTATGAATGACCAAGGAACGCACATGTAGTAATTTTTATAGAGCAATAACCTTTTCACCACTAGACTTTCTTGTCCAAAAGTTTTTTTCTTATATTCTTCAATATTTCTGAAAAATGAAACTTAATTTTAGAGCTAATAGACAACATTTGAGTCAATTTTCAGTTTTTATTCAAAAAATTTGGCAATTTTTGTTTGAATCTCCAAAAGTAAAGTGCAGACTATAAACAGGATTATTTAGTGAATTTGTAATGAAACGAGGGAACTGGTGGTGAAAAGTATAAATATGAATTTTTTGCTGTATTATACACAAATATTATCATGCGGACTATTTGGACATGAATATATCATGTATTGCCATCATGACTGACTTGTTGCAGTTCCCACTTATGATTTACCGATATAGAAAAATACTTCTAGTCTACTGGTACTACATATATATGTACTAACATGTTCTGGTATTGTTAGGCCAAAGTACATGTTGTGAGTAGACATATCACAAAACAATAAATCAATAATTTTATGAACTTTGCGAGTAAGGAGAACAAATTATTGTTGCAGCTAGTGAATATTTCACTTGGGTACTTAAGGTAGCGAGAAGGTTTTGTGACGTTTTCGAATAAAACATTCTCTGTCTGTTGTCTCGTTCAGAACAGTAATTTAGCTTGTATATTTCAAAAGACTAAGTATAGAGGTACAAGTTCGCACAAACTGGACAGTCATTGTTTACATAATTATCACGTGACATCAAAAATGGCGAACCTTGTAAAAATGACTAAGTCCGCGATTGTGAGAGCACACTGCGGAACTTCCTGGTGCAACTTACGTCATGCTATGTCCGTAATCAAGTCAATTGAAATGTGTCCCCGGTAATCAAAAGACCTATTATTCCGATTTCTATGCAGGTTTGTTTTTTTGTCCCCAAATTATTTCATACTTGGCACCTTTAACCAAAGACATTAGAAAGAGATTGTCTTTGCTTTAACAGACTATTACTCTGTGACAAAGCATTTTCTTTAAAAACCCAGACATATTTCGCACCATCATTATCTTTTGAACGATAACTGTTGTTGATTCTTATCATCAATTTAACTGTTTATAGCACTTACCGGGTAGTGGTTGTCAAATTTTATCTTTGTCTATAAGAATAGTATTTTAAAAAGTTCAATCTGGATTTGGGAATTATTATCAGAGCATGTCATTAGATAGATAATGAGTTCTGTCAATGTCCTACTATAAACCCAGAGTTTCTTCAATGCTACAAAGTCTGACTATTGGGTACATATTATGTTATGGGCCTGGTCAATTTTCAGGGTAAAAATATGCGTAACTCAAACAGCAAATCCCGATTTTTGTATGTGTATCCCTTTTCATGTTTACTAGTGGCATATTTGGGGGAAGAACTGAACATTCAACTACTGTAGTTAAAAATTTGAGCTTAAGATTGAGCAATTGAACTCAACACTATGGTTACCTTAGTTTTAAGCTATTTATATTAAGACTTTAACAACACCAGAAATAATTTTAATTCCTGTATGTGATAGGACCAGCAGTTACATGATTTTTTGATATTGATAATTCGTGTTCCTATCGATTAAAACAGCCACGTCATTGTTGTACAAATGCAGAAGGGTGATTAAGTCTACTTAGGGAGTTTTATAGTGAAAATAATCAAATGTTAAGCAGGTATGCTACTTGAATGTTAAAATGTGTTTCTTTTTCATGTTGCAAGAACAAAGGAAAGAAATATGTAATTACCATTAAAAATAATACATAATATTCAGTGACAAATTAACTGTCAAATTTTAAGTAAAACAAAATAATATTTGGTGTCTTTGATATTATTATTCACAATATTTAAAAAAAAATGACATCAGCATTTTGAGTGTGTGAGTTTCTTTAAAGAAAAAGATCTATAGAATTTAATGTTAAATAGTAAATTTATACATTATTTATCCTCAAAATCAAAATTTGACTTACTTTTGACTAATACCATACCAAAACTCAAGTACCATACCTCCTTAATTATTCTTAAAACAAGTACAAAGAAGACTTAAAAATTCATGACTTGATCCCGACTACCATATTGTATTATATCTCAGTCCCAGGGGTAGTGAAAGAACCAGTAATTCATCATCCAGTTGTTCCTGATAGACTTGAAAGAGACATCCAGCTTGACTCAAAATTATCCAACTCCGCAAATGATGCTGTGCAAGAAGTAATAAGAAAGGTGGCTCCGAAACGTACGTAGCTCAGATAGAATTATTGGCTTTTTTAATAGTGTTTCTAATTATTTTAATTAATTACTCATCATAGCCATTTATCTGTTCAGTTAATATATAATTTGGATTTTCCATTGTAGTATACTTGTTTGTTGTGATGCGCACATGATAAGAACATGTACCTGGTATATATCAATGGCGTCTTGTATCGCTAAATGTCTGTGTGTTATTGATACTTCTTATCAAATTAATAAGTTAACTATTTACTGACATGTAGACTAGATGGATTATATTATCAATACAGCCTAGATTATTGAACTCTTAACAACCTTTTATTTGCACATGATTATATTTTGACTACTGTTCAACCAATTTTGTGTTAATACATCAATTGAAGTAGAACTGAGTTTTATGTTGTTGAAAATTCTTTAGGCTCAGCAGTTTCAATATTGTGTAAACGAAAGAAAATCTGTTATATTTGGTATTGTATTTGTAGTTCTACAAGCACGTATCGGTAAAAGGCAAAGCTGAAAACAATTTGGTTTCAAATTTGTCATATCTTCATAATTACTTGTTCTTGCAATTTGGAGTTGCATATAAGTTTTGTTTTTGATTCATCTTGTGACTCAGCACTAATTAATACATTAATTAACTAATATTTTTTGACAAAAAGTAGTGCTAGTAAATAATAATTTCATAGTTTGCAAGTAATGTTAATGACAAATAAATCTTACACTACTGCCCTCCCTATTACCTAGATGTGGAAGCTGTTGATGAAATTGAGGCGGTACATCCGAATGTGGTTGTCCCAGACAGTGATGCAGTACGAGATGCTGCCGTAGTTAATGACGATAATCCTGTACAAGACGCGCTAAAAGACACAATATCAAATATTGATAATGCACAACTTAATGCCCCAATTGATAAGCTTGTTGATCAGGTTAAAGAGAATGATGGTAATTTTAAGTTTGATTGTCTTTTCACATGCTCCATCTAATAACTTTCTCAGTGATGACCACTCCTCCCTATATTGTTCTTTTTTATTCAGCTGTCCTTGATACCACTATTAGCTTAGACATTCTGGTACTGAATCTAGGCTTCCAAGTCACCAACCAGTCATAAAATAGTGTGACATTATAGCCTGTTCTCACTGGCGAACTTGATCCAGTTTTTGTGCAATTGAGCATGTGTCAACTTTTGTGTATATTATTTAGTTGTACCAAAACCGAAACCCAGTGATTGAAATTACTGATGTGTAAGAATATGTTTAGTTTGAAGGTTATATCCGCACATGTACTATATCCAGCATAAACTGTGTGATATCACCACCACTGTTGTTGTCATTCATGAAATTCTAGAGCCTAAGCTGAATTCTACTTTTGTTGCTGAAGTTGTTTTTTTGTATAATAACGATTTTAGGTTGATTTTCAAAAAAAAGGTTTAGTAAATTTTCTAGTATTGAAGTCAGTCAGCATGTTCATGAAAATATATCTTCTGTTTCCAGTAAGGGAACATACCCATTATTTGGGGGAAATATGCTACTTAAGCACTTCATATAGGAACACGATTTCAGCATTTTTCCACCGGGTCTTCTTTCTGGTGTGAACATGGTATCGTTAATTTCAACACAAACATCAAAGATTACTTCTATCTCAATTTAGATTGAGTTGGCCAGTGAGAACACAGCTAATGATTACATCTATTAAACTTACTACATGTATTATTGCTTTTAACCCTTTTTGCTGTCAATTTTGTCACAAAAATTAAATCCAGATTAATTTGTTCTTATGTGGATTTATCAAGACCTGCAGCCCATGGCGTATTACCCGATATATGTATTTGACCAAAAATTAAGAAGGAAATTATTGAAAAATAAATACAAATATACCAAAAGTTCCATAAATTTTTTGGCAGAAAAAATGAAGGCTTATGAAGGCCTAATTACACTAGTTGAACACCGAGTTTTGTCTCATCAAGCCCATAGGTTCCATGTGTGTGTCGTCTATACTGTACATTTCTATTATGCATTGCAATGATCAGTCACATATACGTGTAGTGTGGGGAGAGCATTGGTCATTAGATAAACTATAATTGTATTGTATCTATACCATGGTGATCATTGGTAATCTAGTACGTGGAATTCATTCTTTGACAACGGTTGTTGCTAGTGACACCATTGTATAAATACATGTAGAGAGCACAGCATCTTGTATGGATTGTAAGGTTGCATGTAAATCAGTGCATTGGGGTAGCTAATATAGTGTACTAGTAGATATAGTATATGTCTTTATGTATTCAGTGATGCTGTCGGGAAAACTTTGGTAGATAAGAATGGGTGGAATATATTCTGTCATTTTAATACAGAATGCCAATGGTAAACTAAAACACCTATAGCCAATAAGATAACAGATTTCAATGCTTGGCTATATTTACAGTTATTCGAACAAAAACACTAAGGTTTTCTTAGGCAGTATTAACCAGTACAGAATCACTATGCATGCATTTACATGCATTGTATATATTGCGTTTTAAATACGATTAGTCATTGACCACCGTTCTTTAATTGTGTTACAGTATGTCTTGTGGTGACGGGTTATATACGTTAGAATTTTGTGATGTCTGATCAATCACTGTTGCCATAGAATCAATCATAGTATTTACTTTAGATTGCAATTCACCTTTCCCAATAGCTGCTAATTTTTTATCTTGCATATCACAAATGATAACTGTGCCGCTCATACTCATCTTTTTCATTTATTATGTCACTGCTGCTTCTTATTTCTATTGGACAGTGTTCAATTTCACTTTTCACATGCTTAAAATATATATATTTCACTGCAAAGACAGGAAAAAGTTAACTCCAATTTTTGTTCTCTCTTTTTGTCCCCACTACAGCTTAAAACAGTGTGGCTTCCGTATGTACATATCACAAGAGATACTGTATATATTAGTTGAACTAAGTGGACGAGTGAAGATTGAGGACAATTTTGTACAAACTCATTCATTATGGACCATGTACTATATTTAAAATATATTTATATGATACTTGCAAATTTTTCAGCTATAACAGTAGTCACCTATAGGTTTGAATTGTGATTACAAACTCTGACTACTCCACTTTAATAATAACTGGTTATTAGGACTACGCTACCAAGTACCAGTACTGGATCTACCAACTACCGGAGCTACAGCTTCACAACTTTTTTTTGCTGTTCTAGATGCTGAATTATACAATTCATAAAATTATGTAAATTTGTAACAATGTAAATCAAATCTAGTGCAATGCTATGTAGTGCATGTATGTATGTAGATGAACTTATTGCAGCATTTGAGTGCAGATATTCCTCCTGTCACAGTATTTCAATGGAAATCACCACTACCACAGAATTTATGGGATACAATTATCTTGAAAGTGAAAAATGAATCTGCAATGTCAAAGCTGCTGGAATGCTACTTTTCTGGAATGAAATTACATGTGCCAGAACACTGGGTGGCGCTATACTCATTTAAGTTTTGATGAAAATAGTTAAACTGGTGATTCACATACAGGGTTGTGGTTTTAATGTACAAATGGAAATACTTTTTTTTTTTCAGTATTAAAAATGATAATATAGATAATATCCTTGTATTTTATATTAAACAGTATTGTAATTCATGTTGAAAGTGCATTTCTGCTGGACAGTGTATATGCAATGCGTATTCAAGAAAAATTGTTTGAATACAAGAGGGTGTGTAGACTGGCGCAGTCGGGTGATTAATTTGTTTTTGTAGTTTTAATAAAATAAAAAAAAATTGTGAAATGGAGGTGTTAGCGCGAAATCACCCTGACTGGTTTATTCTGCAGGAAATTCATTGCTATTAAATATTCATGATGCACATATTATGAGGTAATGGTCACACTGCAGACCCAACATGGCTGCACATTGAAATTCAAATTTGTCATAGTCGTCGTTTCTAATTCATCACAAGGTGTAAAAAAGTAACTCGTACTAGTCGTAGAATTAAAAAAAAATCGGCTGCTACAATCAGCAGACGTCTTCTCGGTCAGAGGTCAGTTGAAGAGACGTTGTGATTGGCTTAGATGATTGTCAATTAGAACACATTAACATAATTACCCGTTGAAAAATCAACGGGTTCCTGCAGTGTCGATAGAGGGCCATGCAGAATAAACCAGTCGGGGTGATTTTGCAGTTGCAGGGGATTTCGTGCATTTCGCGAAATTGTTTATTTTATTTAAACTACAAAAACAAATTAATCGCCCGACTGCGCCAGTCTAAAGGGTGTGGTAAATAACCTGTCTACAGTTCTGCAGTATTTTCAGAAATGCTACCTCGAATAATAATCTTGTTAAATGATTTTGGATTATCAAGGAAACCAGTCTACATAATGCACATTGTTTCTGGGGTTGAGGCTTTGTTAGGACCAACTTTTTCCGCTCAGCATGAGATTTTCCCAAATTAGCATTTTGGTTTGAAAAAACACGCCTGACAAAGTCTTTAAAGTTAAGATGTTGACTCCAGACAATTCAGAATTTGATATTATCAAACATTTTAATACTGTCTTTACCATGTGTGATTGTTATTTTTACTCAATTTATTGTAGTTGTTTGGAAAAATGTTTATTATAGTGATCCAGGTGTTCTGTGCCTGATTCATCGTCCATGCACAACTGAAACACTCAAGTGTCCAAATAGGACAGTAGTTGAGTGCCATGAACACAACTGATAATCCTTTTAAAAGCCAAAATCTGAGTTTTAATCCGGTTCTTACTATTGATAATGAGAATGCTCATCCCTAGCAAAGTGACTCTTGGATAGTTCTTGACTTTGCAGCGATTGTCACAGGAGACCTTGAGTCAGGGTGCTACCGAGAGGAGTGTCGATAGGGTCTCTGCTTGAACTTTAGTGCTGGTATTGTAGTGCAATTTGAATCTGAGTTAGTTTCGGCATACTGTGGTTATATCAACAGGAGAAACGTGCTGAGAAGTGCAACGTATTATGACAAATTTTGAGTACAACCAGATGAGAATTAAAATTAATGTGGATGTGATCGATAAAACTTGTACTTACCGGTAGTTGCAAAAAGACAATTCAGAATCCACTTACCATCATAGACACTGATTTTTATGGTGGGTTCAGCCATTGTGTCCACTAGAGTGATAGACACAACTATTAATATTCCCTAGCTCTTGCCAATTGTGTGTAGTGAGGTCCGGAAGGAATTGCTGGCCAGCATGTCTGATTGGTCCACGCACACGACATACAAAGTGGTGAAGTTTTGGTTGGAAATGTTCAGTAAGCTTTATTTTAATTTCATGTTATTTTAACGTAAGAGTGTTTAGTTAATTCTGTGGCTTTGCCTCCATTTCCTTGGAGTTTCAGTACAACCACTTTTTCACATAGTGAAATCATACTTACCTTACCAATATTTAATTTGGAACATTGAATGAACTTAATGGGTTAACCATCAGGGATGTGCTTTATGCAATGTCTAATATTTATGGGGTTGTGGCTAATACAACAAACTATATATAGTGTCTCTCCTGATTTTGCATTATCTAATAATCACAAACCATCCTGTGAGAGCGAGTGGATAATACTTTGCAACAAGCAGCCTGTCGGCCGAGATAGCTCCGCTGTTAGCAATGCACATGGCAATTAAAGAACTGAAGATATCATTAGAAAATGAACAAATCTGAGAGAGGTCCACATGTAGTACCTTATATGTATAATATATCAAAGCAATTGGACTTGCGGTTTTCAATAAGTAGTCGAAAATATCACTTTTTACCAAAAATTACAAAAATATTCACCAAAATTAGAGAATTAAAGATATCATCATGAAATGAACAAATCTGCGAGGTCCACATGTAGTACCTATATATGTAATATCAAAGCAATTGGACTTGCGGTTTTTAACAAGAAGTTGAATATTTTTGGTAAAAAGTGATATTTTCACCAAAATTAGAGAATTGAAGATATCATGAAATGAATAAATCAGAGAGGTCTACCCAAGGTACATATACACCAAGTATCAAAGCATTCAGTCTTGTAGTTTTCAAGAAGAAGTCGAAAAAGTAAAACATTGACATGGAAGACACTGGACGCAGACAGACAGACAATCACTCATATCATAAGCTCCACTCAACAAAGTCGACAGCGGAGCTAAAAATGCAGACAAGGTTTTTACTAATCTTAAAGAAGCGGTTTATTTCAAAATTCACACAAAAACTGATTGTTTAGTTACATGATAAAGAACTCTAATCATCCCACAAATGTGTGTGTACAACAATGGGGAGAACATCACTTAGTAACAGATGAGATGCCAGCCAGCCAAAAAATACAATAAAACATTTCCGCCTCCTACAAACAAACAAACACTAAAATAGTCAGAATAATTATATTAAAATCAATGAAAAAATAAATCCTATTCTAAGTTTAAGAATGATACAATACTGTATTAAGACGCTTAAGACTTTGTCTTCAACTAAAATCAACTCATTTTAAAGACTACAAAATTCTGACTGAAAAAATACAATATCGTTTAAGCTTTGCTGTTTTTTTTTAAGAATTTTAAAAATATCCAAATTCCCAGTAGTGCATTAATATATTTTTTTCATGTTGTGCTTTATACATTGTTTGTCTTCTATAAAGTATTCGTTGAAAAAAAAAAGCTAAAATTAGAAATTTCATAATTGTATTGCTCAATTTTTTTTTTTTCAAATGCATGGAAGAATGTACAATATTTTGTTAAAATAAGAACCCAGGACAAAAATTATTGTCACATTATATCTCCTTCATTTGACATTTATCCTGGTCACAAGTTCGTGACCAGAGCTCTTCAGATTTACAAACCCACGATTCACACTTACACAGCGTACACACAACATGCCAGCTATGACTTTGCAAGACTTGTGGGGCCTGGAGAGCAATTACTCTAGAAAGCAATTAATGTATCATTTTCAGTTCATCTGGTGGCTACATACAGCCTTGTGGTAGAGGATACCATCTCTCCCTTGCTATACAAATGTGGACTCGGGACACAAGCAGTGTCAAGACCAAATATGATTAACAAAATCCTACATCAGAGACAATTTCTCTAAGCAGGAACAATGTTCATATACATATATAACATCCTCTATTGTGTCAAGATAAGATCATCCAACGAAGTGATTATTGCTTGTGTTTAACAGTTCATTACTTTTAAAAGTCCATCCCATCAGAGGTTCAGTTAACCTGCACCCCCCACTGTATAATGGATAAATCCTGATCATATGAGAGAAGATCAAAATGCAATGTCAGAAGAGACGAGCAAAGTAGTAATAAATGCAATTCTTTGCTAATATACACAAATTGTGAATTCGGAAAGAAACAATGACATGCAAAAAAGTTACAACATGCATGAAAATTAAAGTCTTTCTACAGAATGTGTTTATAATTTCTTTTTAAATGATCTTTACCAATGATCTTTATGTACAATACACAGAGTGTCATTTTGTTCAAGGGAAGGAGGTTAATTAAATGCAAAGCCTGCCTCTGTGTTGAAAGGTAGCTGTAGGCAAAATTATAATTCCATTTCTCACAAAGACGAAAAAAAGTCTGAATGACCTTCAAGTTTAAACCTATGTAAAAATGTACTCCACAGAGATGGACAGCCTCTGGGTAATGGAGGATGCATGGTACCGGTGTACATTGAAATGTTCACATATATCGCAAGATTATTTTTTTTTATTATTTATTGCAAAATTTGTATGAACTATACATATTATATAAAAAGTTGAAAACGTATGAATAGGATAGGATGACGGTATCGCTTAATGTTTAATACCCTACCACCCCTGCCTAGTCCTGTTGTCTAATTTAACCAATGCTTCACATAAAATGTGGCAGATTTAAAGTTTTTTTTTTTTTTTCAGTTTTCCATTTTTTT